AAAAAAAAAAAAAAAAAAAAAAAAAGATGTCCACACTGTTGTCACTAGAACCTGTGAATGTGTACCTTCACATGGCAGAAGATGCCGTACAGATGGAGTGATGTTAGATGGTGAGATAGGAGGACATAATGCAGTTGAGCCCAAGACAATCACAAGGGTCTTTATATGTGGAAGGGCGAGGCAGGAGAGTCAGTCGGGGCAGCTGTGATGTCAGAAATAGAGTCAGGGAAGGTAGAAGGGGCCACAAGCCAAGGGATGAAGGCAGCTGCTAGCAGCTGGGACAGGCAAGGAGACAAACCCTCCCATGCAGCCTCTACACCAGTGTTTTTCAACCTTTTTTATCTCATGGCACACTTGAACCTATACTTCAACTTCTGTGGCACACTTACATTATGTTGATCAAAAAAAAAGAGAAAAAATGAATAGACTTACTAACCTCTTTCGAAAATAATTGAATTAATGATCTTTAAAGATTTTTGGAGTACACCTAAGATCCTCTCATGGCACTTTGGTTGTAAATCACTGCTCTGGAGTGAGTACAGTCCAGATGACCCACAGCTGCTGGCCTGTGAAACCCATTTTGGACTTTTGACCTTTACAACTGTAGGATAATACAGTAGAACCTCCATAGTTGACAACTTTCTTACACTGACCACTTCCTTAAGTTGAAATCATTTTCATAGACCGGACATGCATCATATGTACATATCAGTACAGTAGGCCTCGTCCCTTCTGTTGACCACCTCTGTATGTTGACAAGCTTGTGTTGGTCCCTTGGGTGGTCAACTTACAGTGGTTCTACTGTAAATCTGTAATGTTTAAAGCCACTACTTTTGTGGCAATTTGTGAGAGCAACCGCAGGAAATGATTCCACCTGGTGTGGAGCTCAATGTTGTGGAGTCTAAAGGAAAAACAGCACTTTCAATTTTGAGGTCATGGTGCTTAATACACGCCGGGCTAGAGTACCGGTAGCGTAATACTCATGTCTTCTAAAACTTGTCTTGAGCGTGTTTTTCTACTGTTAGCCCTGGGAAACAGTAACCATGCTTGCCATCTTTCCAAAGTGATGCAATCTAGGGACATGACAAGTGAGGAGAAGCAGATGCATGAGGGAAAAACTTGGAGGGAAACCTCATCCGTTCACCCAGCTCTTCATCTGAGCCTATGAGAAATCAGCACTGGGAGGGTGGAAGGAAATAATAACATCAGGCAGTGAGAGTGCAATTACAGCTGACTCTTGAACAAGACAGGCTTAACTGCACATATATGCAGATTTTCTTACACATCTGCCACCTCTGCCACGGCAGGACCAAGTCCATTTCCTTCTCCTCCTCTCCCTCAGTCTACTCAGTGTCAAGAGAATGAGAACAGAGACCCTTACGGTGATCCACTTCCACGTAAAGAATAGCAAATATATTTTCTCTTCCTTTTGACCTTCTAAATAACATTTTCTTTTCTCTGGCTTACTTCATTATAAGAATGTAGTATGTAATACATATAATAGACAAAATATGTAGTAATTGGTAAGGCTTCCTGTCAACCACAGGCTATTACTAGTCATGAAGTTTGGGGGGAATCAAAAGTTATATATGGGCTGGGCACGGTGGCTCACGCCTGTAATCTCAGCACGTGGGAGGCCAAGGAGGGCGGATTGCCTGAGCTCATGGGTTTGAGACCAGCCTGAGCAAGAGTGAAACCCCATCTCTAAAAATACCCGGGTGTTGTGGCAGGTACCACACCTACTCGGGAAGCTGAGACAAGAGAATCTCTTGAGCCCAAGAGTTTGAGGTCGCTGTGAGCTGTAATGCCATGGCACTCTATTGAGAGTGACAAAATAAGACTCTGTCTCAAAAAATAAATTAATTAATTAAATTAAATAAAAAAATAAAAAGTTATATATGGATTTTTGATTGCATTGAGGTGGAGGTGGGGTTGGTGGGGTTGAACAACCACTGCATTGTTCAAGGGTAAACTGTAATTGGCAACTAGTACACCACTGTGTTTAGCCAGAGGCAGAGGAAACACTACAAATTAATTCAGGATAGGATTATTTGATACATTTTTGCTTTGGTCAAGGCCCCGGAGGGAAATGCCCACTAAGATTCTCTGAATGGCCATGAGGGAAGGATAGATAGCATTGACCCATGTTCCAGGTTCTGCTTGTGCTATCGCAGAAGCCCACGTTCCCTCTCCTGACTTAGGACATGTGACCAATGAGAAGGGTGTAAATGGTTGGAAAGCACATGAAAACAGAGGAGGGGGCTTAACCCAGGTGAGCAGCTGAGAGAGCCACGGTGTGGGTGACAGGGACAGACAGCAGAAAATATGGAGGCAAGAGGAGAAGGTTGCAAAGAGAACAGAGCCCAATGCCCTGAATACAAATCAGTGGACTCGTGGTCATAAAAACACATTTGTTTAGCAAACAGCCCTTTCTGAGCTCTTGCTGAGAGCCCGGGATTCTAGGACACAGTTCTGAGTAAGCCTCAAGTTCCTACCATGGAGAGAGGTCACATTTTTTTCTCTAACTTTCTCTCATAGGTGAGAATGGGGAGGAAGAACAATTGTGCTGGGGGGCAGGTGGGGGCCCGACTCCCAGGGCTTCCTTATCTCACTGTGCTCCAGCCCTGCAGAATCCCTGACCTGGCAGCTTTCCGCAATAGGGTGGATTTCATAAGGAAAGTGACCAAGTAAAAGTGCAAACAGTACTAAATCGGAACTAGTCTATCATCACTTGGATACATATATGGAGGTAAAACTCCAAGGAAATTAAGGGGGTGGGAGTGGGGAGAAGGGGTAGGATAAATTCATACCTCACTGGTGCACTGCACACAATTATAACTTTGACTTACAATGTACAGAAGCAAATGTGTGTACCCCTGTAATATTCTGAAATTAAAAAAAAAAAAAGATAATAGGCAGATACAACTAGACCACAAAAAAATAAAACTAGCTTGTTAACTGTTTTTCTCATTAGAGCCTAGGATTGTTATAACATTGTCATATGTTGCAAGAGGTTCATATTTCTATCTTATTTCAAATTTGTTGTGTTCCTCCAATGAGCTTCACCCCCCACCCCCCACCCTAGAAATGGTAACTCAGAAGGTAGTGGGAAGGGTAAGAATGTTCTTTTGGTTTAGATATTTATCTTGTAAATAAAAGCTGGTGGTGGCCGAAAAAAGTACAAGCCAGGTGCAAATATGTGGCAACAAAACGAAGCTCATTGATTGTGCGTGACCTGAGCACTGAACTGGCCTCTGGCCTCATGCTTCTGGGGCTCCCAGAGTCCGCAGTCTCCTCCTCACAATTACAATTTTTCCTCCACACCTCCCCCTAACACACACACACAAAGTTCCCTCCACACTAGGCTGGTCTGTGCCTGTTTTCCCTCCTCTAACTATAACTTACGACATCCTCTTGCCATCCTCACCCTGGAACTCAGTTCCCACGTCTTAGCCCTTGTGGGTCCACACCTAGGCTTTGGTTTGAGGCTCGATTCCTCTCTCCACCTGGTTCCTTCCGGGACATGTTAGCTAACTTGGTCCTCTCCGCCCTCTCAACACCCTCGTGACTCAGATGTTCGTTCACTGCCACAGACTAGGAGGGCCAGTACCAAGGTCGCTATGTGATAATACACCTGATTGGTTCTCATTCCAGAATGGCTGCAGCAGCCATGTGACAGGGGTTTGCAGGAGAGCAACACAGGTCTTCTCTACCCGTCTTCCACAATTCGGGGCTCAGTGTGGAGAAAGGTATGGTTGGGCAGTAAACAACATGAGGCTGCAAATACAGGTCAGAAAATACAGGAGGGGCTGGCTCAGTGAGCAGCGGATATCTGGGCAAATTCCCCACATAATCAGATCACACATGCAATAATCAACCAAAACAAACATCAAGACAAATTCATCACAGCGACTCATCCATGCCACTGTGTATAAAGCATCCCACAGTGCCCAGGGCAAATCAGGTACAACAAATGGTTGGTACTATTATCACTATGGTTATTAATCTTCCCCCCAAAAGACTGAAAATATCTACAATCTACATAGGATGAATAATAGTCCTAAATGATTTCGTTGCTATTCTCCTTTTTTTCCCCTCCTTAGTTGGCTTTGAATGAGATCATGATTTGAGGGAACTTGATCCCCAATTAACAAAAAGCAGAAACCTCCCTCCTTCTGGCAAGAGTGGAAAGGAGATATTATGATACTAAGGAGTATAGAATGTAAAATTAATTAATGAAAACATGAGTAAATAGCCTTTAAAACAGCAGAAGTGGCTGGGCGTGGTGGCTCATGCCTGTAATACCAGCACTTGGGAGGCCAAGGCGGGTGGATTGCCTGAGCTAATGGGTGCAAGACCAGCCTGAGCCAGAGCGAGACCTCATCTTTAAAAATAGCCTGGCGTTGTGGCAGGTGCCTGTAGTCCTAGCTACTTAGAAGGCTAAGGCCAGAGGACCACTTGAGCCCAAGAGTTTGAGGTTGCTGTGAGCTATGATGCCATAGCACTCTACCGAAGGTGACAAAGTGAAACTCAAGAAAAAAAAAAAAAAGAAGATGGATCTGAGCCACAAGCAATTGGCATCGTGGA